CACATCCTATTAAATACCAAGCTACTCTTACTTAGCAAAATCGCTAGACTCATAACAACAGGACTCTTGACGTGGAGCTCCAAAGCGACAGTTCGTTATTATCTATTCCTTATTTCTTCAATATAATTGTTTAGTAAACAGGTTAGAGTTTTATTAGGGTTCCTGATTCAGAGAATACTAGTGGGCTGTTCTCAATAAATCTCGCTTTCACATGGATCCTTTTCTAAAGCAACATCACAATGCGTTTGCAATATTAGAAATCAGTCGTTCACCAGCGCTTCTCTCGGACGTCGCTCATGGTCGTTTGCTGTATTATAGGAATACATAAAAACAATAGTTGGTTATTCTGCATTTACACTTAAGTTTGTAACCTCATTAGATATTTGTTTTTATACTAGCTTTCCCGGATTAAGCAGATTATATAGAACCAACATATTTGACTCAAAAAACAATGAATAAACAGGAATCCATCAATGTAGTATATAATCAGTGTAAGTGTCAGTGTTCTGTGAGCACTGCTCTATGACATCGAAAGTTACTGACACTCTTACTTCACTACCACACACTCCCATCCACATCTCAATGATATTCTAAAAATAAAACGCAATCGAACAATCCGAATCCACAAAAGGATTTTCCAAATTGTCAGTTTCCTTTTTTCAAATAACTACCGGAAAACATAATTTGTTCCTACAAGAACAGTTCAGTACGAAAACTATGATTATTTCATGAAATTAAGTTTTTCACATACATATATGGATATGAAATCTTCGGAAATCAATTACAGACTTGGATTCTCCGACCGCGCCTTACTTTTATCCACCTTTAAAAAAAATGTCATTAGTTTCCCAAAAAAGCTTTTCCTCAGCGGCAAAAACTTCAATTCCAAATTTTGAGAAACCGACTTCAGATTCGGATTCCTCGATCCCACTTTACGCTCGTCCACCTTTATACAATATCAATATTTTCTCAAAAACCCTTCTCTTAAACAAAAAACTAAATTCAAAATTTTCAAATTCTGACTTCAAATTCGGATTCCTTGACCCCGATTTCCCTTTGCTTAGTTTTACAGAAAATATTAATAATTAATAATTAATTAAAACTAACCTCAGATTCGGATTTCCCACGCTCGATTACCTTTCGGTCAAAGTTTATAGAAAACAAAGATTCGGCATGAATGTTTTTTTGACCCTGATGTTCTTTTGACCTGGCACAAACCCACAAACGTTTTTAACTTTTTTTCGTATGACCCTCCCTTCAGTCGAGGGAATAATTTTTCCTTTAGCTTCATTCAAATAAAATAAAATAAAAAACTATTATGTATCTTCATGGGAGACGTACTTCATAGTAATATGTATGAATGAAAAATGTTTGTACCATTGAGCAGTTGATTCCCAATCTTTAATGTTATATTAACAAAGATACATCTATACTTTCTCATACATCTTCTTCTTGATACTAATATTTTAAGCATCAAGTGATACGACCTGTGGCTACGAGAAAATTAAAAAAATTTTCTTGGATTTCACGCTTAAATAGAGATAAGTTCCATCAAGACTGAAGGAGAACATCTATCATCTTCTAGTCAATCGCCCATTTTTTTTCTTACAATTCTTTCATAATTGAATATTAGCTGATGTTAATTCTTACTGGGATGCTTTTTCGAGTAGTCTATTCCTAATATATTACAGCATATTGACAGAGTGCCTTGGGTGTGGGTGTGACTGTGGCTGTGGCTGTGGCTCTGGGTGCGGGTGTGGGTGTGGGTGTGGGTGTGAGTGTGGGTAAGGTTGTGGGTGTGAATGTGGGCGTGCGTCTGGGCGTCGAGTGTGGGTTCTGGTGAGATGGGTGTGGGTTCTGGTGGGGTGGGTGTGGGTTCGGGTGGCGTGGGTGTCGGTGTGGGTGTGGGTGTGGGTCAGATGTGGGCGCGGATGTCAGTGTGGGTCTCAGTGTGGCTGTACGCGTCAGTGTGGGTTCGAAAAAGAGATCCTCACACCCACACCCACACCCACACCCTCTGCTCAATCGAAATCGTCAGATTTTGCGCAATTTAAGATGTATTGTAGAGAGAAGAGTTTTATGTACGTTGACACAAGCCGTTTTAAAAAATATTGATCCCTCTTTTTTTTATCAGCATTTTACGAAAAGGCCTAAAAATGACCCCATATATAAAAGGGGGTCCTAGTGTAACGATATCTCACGAATGGCACAACCAAATGAGCTGAAACTTTTTACTATCATGCATCCCAATGAATTCTATTTTCCATAAAATTTTCGTTTTAAAATATTGAGCCATTGGAATTTTATGAAGCACTCAATATACGAAAAAAGGTCCATTTATGGTACCTTTGGCACTTCAAAACTTTTTATAGGAATTATGTATGGCTCTCAAATTTTTACTAATAAGAGGAAACTAAAAGTTGTATGTCTCCTGAAAATTTCAGCTATTCATATCGTTTCATTTGCACACGGTAGCCCCGTGAAAAACGGAATTTTAATAAATGTGGGGACTTTCAAGATAGGCTTTCTCCCAAGATATCGATTATATGGGGCGTTGGTTATTAGAACTTGGAAGTGCTCTTTTTTGGGCTACAATTCTATGAAAAATCAGCGTGGGACCTCCAACAACGGCGCCAGGGCACTTATTGCAAAATATGAAAAAGTGAGCCTTTTTCTATGGGAAATCTACTCAAGTGCAATTGAAAATTCCTTCAAGGAAATAAGTATGTGGTATAAAATTTATGTAGTAAAAATCAGCATTAAATTCTCCATTGCCCTATATCAAAATATCCTTTCAAAATAAAAAAAAAAATTTTTGGAAAAATCCCCTACTCCCCTCCAGGTCTTTCTTTAACATTTTATTCTCACAACCCCTGTACCCCCCTAGGACGATTTTTCGTAAAAATTTTTTTTTTCATTTTCAAGGGATATTCCGATACAGACGAAGAGAAAATCAGATGCTGATTTTTACCATATAAAATTTATGTCACATAGTAGAATCCTTGAAGGAATTTCGAAGTATACTTGGGGTAGATTTCCTATAAAAAAGGCTCATTTTTTTGTATTTTGCAATGAGTGCCCTGGAGTCGATCTTGGAGATCCCACGCTAATTTATTTACAGAATTGTAGCCCAAAAAGGGTACTTCCAAGTTCTAATAACCAACGCCACACACAATACATATCTTCGGACAAAGCGTATCCTGAAAGTCCCCACATTTATCAAAATTCCGTTTTTTCACGGGACTGCCTTGAGCAAACAGAACAGTATGGATAGCTCAAGTTTTCAGGAGAGATACATCTTTCAGTGTCCTACTACCAGTGAAAATTTGAGAATCATGTATAATTTTTATCAAAAGTTATGAAGTGCCAAAGTTACCGTCCTCAAGCGATTTTTTGAAAAAAATGTTTTTTTGACCCCAAAAAAATTTTTCAAAAAAATTTCAGGTGTTTTCGAAAAAATTTATTTTTTCTCAACAAGTCTGTTTCTTCATTAAAAAAAAATTTTGAAAAAAATTTTTTTTTTCAAAAAAATTTCGGGTGTTTTCGAAAAAAATTTTTTTTTCTCAAAAAGTCTGTTTCCGCATTAAAAAAAATTTTCGAAAAAAAAAATGTTTTTTTGACCTGCCACAAACAGACAGACAGACAGACAGACGGACAGACAGACAAACGCATTTTAGTTTTTTTCATATCACCCTCCCTACAGTCGAGGGAATAATAAAATATTTCTCAGTGTACTTTTTTGTCTTGAACACTTGAAGAAAAAAGAAAGTTATAAAATCCACCAAAAAAATCTACTCTATACATGCTTTTCTAAATTATAATAATGAATTGTTTAGAACTATCTCTGTACTCTTTTCAGTGCTTTGGAGGATTTTTCGAAAAATGTAGAAATTCTAGACTGAATAGATTTAATGGATCACTGATAGTTCATAACGAAATAAACCATATTCAACAGAAAGGAGAACTTGCAGTTGACTGATGAAGAGATATTCCAACAACCATTAAACAATAAGATAATAATTTTCTACTTCACTCCTACTTGTTTAATACTGAATCGACATTGAAATCAGTCTGTTCTCATTTTAATAAATCATAAGAAATACGGTATTTTATTATACTTAAATCTTCTAATTTGCAGCAAACGATAAACAGAATATGCACATTCACATCCTCAAACTATGAGCGACCTAAAGTGTGTCTCTAAAATGTGCAAGACTACTCGTGAGAAATATTTCTTCATATTGCAGATCAAACAGTTCCAGAGATCATTCATACAACCTATAAAAAAAACTGTCGATTATAAAAACAACTTAAATCAAAAGTCATTTTACTTTGCTTATACCTTACATAAGAAAAATGATATTGACATATTTGTCTCATAACAATCGAGAGATTAACACTAATTGGTAAGCTATCTAACAATCACATAATATATACGATGACTTCATGCAGCTTATTTTCACCTACAATCTACTTTTATTTATTGAAATTTATCATATCACTGATATACAACAAAGCTTTACCGACTATCTCGATTCCTCCAGGCATTTGTTACTATTTTTTCTTCTCTTAGTCAATTTTGATCTCATCATATGATAATCTTTATGAGCGAAAAATGAATACAAAAAACAAAAAAAAAAAAGAAAATATTCTCCTCAGAAGTGTTGATACATTCATTTATTGAATAAAGAGAACGTACAAATTAGCGAATGCGTAATTGATTGGATTCAATTGATGTAAGTCGTTTAGTATTCATTAACATTAGCCAACACTTTCATATTTTTTTCTTTTCTATCCTATCTTCATCTATAAATATAAGCATACAATCACAATCATCTCTCATACATTTATTGATTTTTTTTTTATTCAATCGTATAAAACGTACTCACACACACAAACACATCGGTAAGGTTACATACAATGAATACTTGAGTATTCGATTAAAAAATTCATTTTAAAAAAAAATATTCTATTGATTTTGTAGCATTGTTTCGGAAGTCATGCAATCAGCGTTCTCTCTTTCTTCAATATCATCCTCAACATCAAGTTATTCATCAACATCGTATGCATCTCGCACTATTCTCGAAGCTAAAGATTTACCTTCAGCTGCACCTCGATGTCGATTCCAACTTCCAGTAAATAATAAGTCCATGTCGAAATGTCGTCATCTCTTTCGTACTTGTCTTTCTTCAATATTATCACCTCTTTCATTACCTATTCAAACAAAACTTTCAGATTCATCTATTCGAAAACAATATTTTGCTAAATTATGTCATCATTATCGACTATTACTTGTTCTTAATGATTATGAATGTAAATGTGGTTGTCATTTTTCAATGCGACAAGGTACTTTTGTTATTTTATATGAAACAAGAAATGAACTATCAATGTCGAATAAAAATAAACTTGTAACAGTTATATCAAATGAATTAGTATGTTTGAAAGTTCCATCTGAATATGTTTGTGATATTGAATTGTTACGTGAACATGTTCGTACAAGACATTTTTATAGTGATGATTGACGAACAAAGTTTTGATTTGTAATAATAAATTGTGTTTGGCATTTGTTTTAATAAGTACAGCGTTGAGCTCTGGTGTATTAGGAAACAAATTCTGTCCTTGTAGTCTGATAATGAATTCATTTTTAGAATGTATCAATTGCCAGTGGTACTACAACTACTAATCCGTTATTTTGCCTATTTCTCGGATGGGCAATGTAAGACAGAATGAGAAGAAGAAAGATGATTATTTTTAGATACACTGATGATGATGTAATAATAACTAAGTGAGTGTAACATAAGAAATTCAAACAATGATGACGAAGAAAATTGTTTCACTCTTGCTTTCGTTCAATATTTGTCATCAATTTTTTACTTGACATTTCCTCTCATTTTCTTTTTTTGTCTTTTCTTTTTAGCTTATTGATAATATAACTGTAATTGCAAATATGTTGAACGACATATTTTCAAGGGCATGTTGATGATGATGATAGAAATTTTTATCGATATGTAAAAATTCATTGTTTGACTTCTCTCTCTCTCTCTCTCTCTCTCTCTCTCTCTCTCTCTCTTCGATGTTCTCATGTGAATACATTCAGCACTAATCTTCATTCATAATTTGGATCGATGAACAGAAAAAAAAGCAAACAAGATAACAAACACTGTGCGACACACATGCATAAAAAAAAAACGAGAAAAAGAAAATACGATAAAATAGAAAATATAATTTGTTCATCATGTTACAATAAAAATGATAATCATATTATAAACTAATAATATCCATGAAGATATTAACTTTCGACTTATTGACTTAGAATATCCAAGCACTAGAATATAGAATTAGATATAATAAATTTTACAAAGAAAAAAAAACAATTATTTTACCCTAAGAAGTAGAAAATATTTGAACATCTTTGCTTATTAAACCATTATTATAAATACATTGAAATAAACCCGAGTCATTTAATGATAAATTATTTATATATAATATTAATGTAGCTTGATTATTATATGGATATTTATGAATAAAATATGATGTTTGATCTTGATTTATATGACGTTTATTTATGATACCATTTTATTTTTAATGGATCAATTATATTTATTGGTAATTCTCGTACCATACATGATAAATTAATTGATCGTTGATAACGATTTAATTCAATAATTCCATCATTTGGATAAATTTTCATTGAAGCTTTAATAAAAAAAAAAAAAAAAAGAAAAGAAAAGTTATTGTTCGGTTTGTTTTTGTTTTTTAGATTGAAAAAGGAGAAAAATTCTCTTACGAGTTAAAGTTAAGTTATAAATATTTGCTATTGACTGATGTTGATTTGATTTACACATATAGATTCCTTCATCGGATAAATTTAATTGATTTATTGTTAATATTGATAGATATGTTTCAGTTTGAACATTATAACCACTATAATCAACTATAAAACGTCGATTATTTTGTGTTAAACGACGTGCATTTGCATATCACGGTAACCATTTTATACCATTTGTTGTAGGAATTTTTCGACGATTATACCCAAGTTATCTAAAGTTTTTTTTTATATTAGAAAAAAAAAACTAGATTTCAAACGTAATGAAAACAACATACAACGGCATTTAAGGGTAATTGAGAAATTTCACATCGAAATGAGATAGCGGAATCAAGTTTTCCACTTATATACCGGACGTTTGACGAACTTGCAATACCTTGAAATATTCAATCAAAATATTTAATAAAACAAACAAAAGAGAAAGATTTTTAATACATTTTCTTCTTTATAATCTATATATATGTCGTATCGAAGTTACACCGGTCGACGAAGTTATAACTTCGTCAAGAATGTTGTCGAAGTTATAACTTCGTCGAGCAATATTGACGAAGTTGTAACTTCGACGCTCACAGTTATCGAAGTTACAACTTCGACAGTGAAATTTGTCGAAGTTAATTTTAATTCATTTATAAATAAAGAATTTACTTTATTGAATATCCTACTGTTGAATATATATAATCAAAGATATTTTTTTTAAAATAAATATTCATTTATTGAAGAATATTCTTGAATAAATATTTTATTTAAAAAAAAATTATATTCGATTATATGTATTCAACAGTAGGATATTCAATAAAGTAAATTCTTTATTAATAAATGAATTAAAATTAACTTCGACAAATTTCACTGTCGAAGTTGTAACTTCGATAACTGTGAGCGTCGAAGTTATAACTTTGTCACATTTATATGACGAAGTTATAACTTCGTCAATATTGCTCGACGAAGTTATAACTTCGTCGACCGGTGTAACTTCGATACGACATATATATTTCTTCTCCTGCTGTTCAATTTAATGATCAGTCATAGGGCGGGATCTATTATGATTTGATGTCTTGCTACTATCATATTAATAAAAGAATTCTTTCATCTTCTCCAACTGTTCTTTCAATTGTAATGCTCAATATGGATTCCTTGATCAAGTAAAACAAAATGAACAACCAATATATATATATATATATATGTAGAAATCAATTTCTATAGTGACCAAGGCACCGTACTGTTATCTTAACATTTTTTGTTTCGGATGCATACGGCCTTCGGCAAACAACAATTGGAAAAGATTTCTTCTTTCTTTCTCGCCACGTAAATATTGTTGTTGTACACACGGGGGATTAATTAGCTATGCCTACCTTTACTTAACGTGTAAAGCACGCGTAATCAAACAGAAGAATAAAACAAAAAAAAAGTGTCTTTAATTGAATGATTTTTGTTTATATTAGATATGTACACATACACAGTTTTTTCTATCTCAATGAACGATGAAAATGCCATAGACACATGAAAATGATCAAAAAAAAAGAAAGAAAAAAGAAAACGAAAACTTAAATAAAATATCACATGTATACTTACCGGTAATGTTAATGATAAGTAAAAACAGTTGAATAGTCATGATAATAAATTGTCAAGTGTGTTCATGGTGGCATATCAAAATATTTTACGTAGAATAATATATAGATATATTTGTCATGTGAACAAGTATCTCGAGACGATGAAATGTAAAAAATGAAAGAGTTTGATAAATTTGTTTCTTTTTTTTTTCTTTTATTTTGTTGCTGTCGTTCAGTGATTAATAAATTGTCATATACCACGCTACGGTATAGCAAAAAAAATGAAGAAATATGTCTATATGCGTGTGTGTGTGTGTGTAAAGTCGTTCGTCTGTTGAACAATTGAAGAAACGAAGCAAGAGAAGAACAAGAAGAAGGAGAAGAAGAAGAAGAGAACGAATGTATGCCTTATTCCCGAAAAAAATAACACTTACTCTTCCTTCTCTCCTAATCTTTCTTTCTCGTTTCTTGTACATATAAAGAAAGAGGGAAAACCATCTTACATGGTTATAACTAATTGAGAAAAGTGAATCAAATCCATAATTCTTTAAATCTTGTGACATAAGACGATTTTATTAGTCTATATGTATATATGTGTGTATGATTATGTTTCCTTTCTGAATGAAATCAGAGCTAGTTAGACCTATCTTGAATCTTTCTCTCTCTCTCTCTATTTTCTTTGAAATAAGGAAAGAAGAAGTTCATATATATATATATATATATGTACATACACTAATGATCTCAATGACAACCGATGTTGTTCATCAAGAAAAAAAACAGGCGGGACAATACAGCTACTGTTCTTATTTATATATTCACTCTATAAGTTCCGTCTAAGCTAATGAATAAATGAATTAATACCTGCATACATATGAACATTCACTTTCTATAAACAATATCTATCTTAGTTGCCTCTCATGTAAGTATGTATATATATGTACTAGTTGAAAAATGGGACGAGACGCCTGGCGATAATCTATTTGAATGTGTATGTTCGACAAAATGTTATTCTTTTACATGCTCATGCCAGATATGCTCAATTGAAAACTGGATAGAACGAATGAGTAACTAAATGAATGAATGAATATGAATAGTGCAAGTGTCAATGTGTCACTCATCACCATAGAATAGTAATACAAGAACAGTATTGGACTAATGGTTGAGCGCTTACTCTTCACACCAAAGAGAGCCCACTTAAGGCACCATACAGACATATACTATATAGAGACTTATACGAACGCGTGCGGGACAATATGATGCAATAACAACACACACATAAATATATATCCAAAAGAGAATGAAAGTCTAATTGTTCTTTACCACCTGTTCTTTTCTAATCGAATATTTTGCTTGTTTATTCAACTCTATTGAAGACCTAACAACGCATCTGGATGAGATGTTATTATATATATATATATGCTTGTATATGTGATGTTTTCTATCTTAATTCAATGGATGATACATATCATTGAATGAAAAGCTAAAAACGTTTTTTTCTTCTTTTTGTCTTTTATTCTATGCTATTAAATAATGTCAATAACAGTCTACTAACTGTTATACTTTAGCCCTTTAAATATATACATATGTATATATAATGTATGCAGATGATGCAATGCGACAGCTGACCGGCACAAGTGCACAGTCATTTTTACCTCGAAGAAACAATCTTAAACACTTTTTTGTTTATGTATATATATATAGATATGTTATGCTATTGTCACATAGTCCTTGTCTTCAAGCAAATATTGTCTGAGATGAATTCACTTTTCTTTGAAAAAAAGAAATATTTTAAATCAATTAAGATATTTGATATACACAATTTTTAAATGATATTTTGGTTAATGAATCGATTTGCTCGTTACTATATATAATTGACTTGTAACTATTTATGACAAAGATTAATGAACAAAGTACGTGATATAAGAGGGAAGTGTCATCTCCGGTTTAGTATAAATGATAGACAGACAGACAAATCGAAGACAAAGAAAAGTTCAAAGTAATTTCAAGTTTTTTTTCCTTGACTAAACGTAGACAATCTATTAGCAATAAATTTATTCATAATCGATGTCTTATGTTTTAATACATAGAAAAGATGAAAGACATATTCCCATTCATACTTATATATTTATCTTTATCAATATATATATATATATATAAATTGATGAAGAAAACAAAGAAAAAGAAAATATTATTTTATGATATTCAATTAAAAGAATTGTGATTAAAACTTGATTGAAGGAAAATACATCTGTTAAAATACCTAATTCATTACTTTTCAATACTAAACGAAACATTCATAGAAAACAAAACAAAAAAAATCAAATACAATTGGGTTTCCGTCATATCATTAATCAAATATTGAACAGTTGTTTTTTTTTTTTTTGTTTCAGCAGTATTTATCATGAGATCTCTTCACTATGATATTGACAGAAGAATATACAAATGAAGAGATAAAAATAAACTTTTATGGATGTCTCATTCAAATAAGGCCAACCCATAAAAGAAATGTAACGCCTTTTTTTATTCTTGACGTTACAAGTGTTAACATATTCTATAATAAATGATCATAGAATTATTCAACAAACTAGAAAATTATTCATATATGGATATTAATTCAAAGAATTATTGAAACTTATTCAAAACTTTAAGATACTTTTGTAATGAATATTTTTTTTTTGCTTAATTGTTTAATTACCTATAAATTTAATCATTACTCGCTTTTTTTTTCTAAAAAAAAAAGAAAGTCAAGACTAAACCTCTTTACAATTTAATTATAAATTCTAAGAAAAGAAAATTCAAGGTTAAGTAAAATTAATCTCGATTAGTGCCGAGATAATTCTGAAAAAAAAATTGCCAACACACATTCACGCTACATCATCAGACATTTTTATTGCGTTACTATCAGATTTCATAGTCAAAAAAGAAAAATAATGCAAAAAAAGTCACACAATGTTCGAAAACGAATGATTTATTATTTATATTCATTCTATATAATTTCATCATAACAGCTATCAATTATTTTTTTTTTTCATTATATTAATAGAAACAAAAAAGAAAATCATTAATCAACTAATAGTAAAGAAATTTGATAACAACGGGTGCGGCAGAATAAATGGCGGTCTCAGTATTTTGATTATAACGTTTTTTTTCTTTTTGATCTTTATAACTGGTTGTTCTGCCAAAAGATGCGTCGTGAAATTCTCTACGAAATCCTAAATAAACTTATTTCTGTAGAAAGTAAAGAGAAAAAAAGAAATGAATATTATTCAAAGCATAAGAAGTGCTCAACTTTCGAAGCGAACGGATATTGTACGAATGACTGGTGTTCGTATCTCTTTTTTTATCCTCCTCTAGTAGACAGATTTAAAAAGCAAAGTATACTATAAGATGCAGCGTGAAAATCTCTACAAGTTACATTAAAAACCCTATTTTATATGTGTATTTTTTTTTCAAAATGATCAAAATTCTGTGCGACCAATTTTCGACTCTGCGAACAATATCCTTTTTTGGTACGCTACGAATTCGTTGTTTTTAATTTCATCTCTGTATCACCTAATATATTCTATGAAAAGAAAACGAAATATACCACAAGATGCAGCGTGAAAAGCTCTAGAATTTACAAAGAACAAGTCATTTTATATACATGCATCTTTTGTTTTTAAAATATGCAACATTTTGTGCGACCGAAAAATGGTCTTTTTCGCAGAGTCGAAAACTGATTGCACAGACTTTTAATCATTTAGAAAATAAAATGTGCATCTATAATATAAAGTTTTTACTGTAGTTTGCAGAGCTTTTCACGCTTCATCTTTTGGTGTACTTTGTTTTTAAAATACACCTACTTGATAATTAAAAAGGGTATGCAAATACCAAGCATGCGTGAAATACTCGTTTGCTTTGAAAGTTGAGCACTTCTTATGCTTTGAATAATATTCATTTCTTTTTTTCTCTTTACTTTCTACAGAAATAAGTTTATTTATGGTTTTGTAGAGAATTTCACGACGCATCTTTTGGCAAAACAACCAGTTATAAAGATTAAAAAGAAAAAAACGTTATAATCAAAATACTGAGACCGGCATTTATTCTGCCGCACCCGTTAGTATGCAATGCCTAACAAAATCATTGAACAATGAGGTAGTTGGAAATAATATCACATAAATATAACTGACATTTGACGTATAATTTCAATTATTGAATAAAATTTTGAAATTTTCGGATATCAATAAATTTATATTTTATTATTCAATAATATTGTTCATATATTTAACAAAAGTGAACAATTAAACTATAAAGAATTTTTTTTTCTATTATATATAGAACATAGATTATTATTCATTCATATTTACATAAATCGAACATTTATATGGACCAAACATATATTTATATGCATTTTTTTGTAACCAATCATGAGTAATACAATCTAAAAGTGACATACGTTTTTTTGGATCTTTTTGTAAAAGCTAAACAAAAATTTCAGTATTGATTTTATCTTTTTTAATTTATTTTATCTTACATTATCAATAAATTTTCTTGAAAGTTGGGAAAAATAATCAGGAAATATATAATTAATAGTTGCAATTTTAACTTTTGTTTCATCATCTGTTCATTGAAATGGTGTATGACCAGATAAAAGTTCATATGCAAGTACACCAACACACCAATTATCAACTTTATATTGATATTGTTTATGACCAACGATTTCTGGTGCTAAATAATCTAATGTACCACAAGCTGTTGTATTCCTTAAATAAGACAACAACAACAAAAATCATATTATTTCTAGTCAAATATTCACTTTACATTTTACCAGCATGACGAATTTTTGTTGATCAACCAAAATCTGCTAATTTTAAATTTCCACAACAATCAAGATCAAGAAGAACTAAGAAAAAAAATTTTTACAATTCACTTTTTTTTTCTTTATTTTTTAATAATTACTATTTTCAGGTTTTAAATCTCGATGAATAATACTTTTACTATAACAATATTCTAATGCATGACAAATTTCATAAATATACTAAAATAATCAAATTTGAAAATTCTTTTGAAGAAAAAACAAAATCTTTGCTTTTTTTTACACTAGCAGCTAAACGATTTGTAAAGCGATGTAATTTTTGTAAAAACTGATAAAGTTGTCCATGTGGAGCATATTCAAGCATAAAATAAAAATGTTTTTCATCATGAAATACATCATACATAGTTAATATAAGTGGATGATTTAATTTAAAACCAGATTCAGTTTCAATTTTAACTTGTTCAGCCATTGAATATACATTGATTTTACTTTTATGAAGCATCTAAATATAATTTCAAAAAAAATGAAAAAGAATAAATTTACTTTTAATGCACAAATAAATTTCGTTTTTTTTTTAATCGTGTCAAATAAACTATACCAAATGCACCTTTACCAAGTGGTCGACCAAATTCAAAATCATCAATTGTAAATAAACGATCTTCACTAAAAGTAAAGCAAAACAAAAAAAAAAAAACATCTTCACAGATTACTTCTTTTCTTGACAATTTACTTTAAAGCCATTTTTCGTACACTATTAGCCATGCTTGTTTCAAGATGAGATTGACGAATATATTTTTGAAATACATGACTTGACATTGGTGGAGATTGTAATTCATTATCTTTAAGACTATTTAACCAATTTGATAAATATCTATAGAGAGAATCACCATTACATTGTGCTACATCAAATGGAACTTTAAACGCTTCAATATCGGTATAATTCTATGACATATGAAGAAATAATAAAAGAAATAGAAGAGATTTATGTGATTACTTGTTGATCGTCAGAAGTTGGTTCGAACATGATGACAGAAATCTTTTTTTTTATTGGGAAAAAAATATCATGTCAAACATCAGAACAAAGAACAAAAGATTTTTCGTAAGAACAAAGACGCGCTATCAGCCATAGACAGATACGCATATGTAGATATTTTTTGTTGAAATAAAAGTAAAGAAATTTTAGAAATAGTTTTATTTTAATTTTAGTATTTTTTTCTTACAGATATGTGTTTAATTATTTGATACGTGATGCAGAGATATCGCTACTGGCGTAACTAGTTCATATTATAAATGGCAGTCATCGAAAAAACTGATATTTCTTAAAAAAATCAATTTGTGTTATGATATTCTATAAAACGATGTGTTACTAGAATTGAGTTTGAGCCATGTCAGGCGAGATTCATGTCTCGACATCAATACAAAGAATTTCGTGCATTTTCAGCAACCTGCGTAAAAAAATTTATTAGACATATGCATCGAAAATTATCATTTTATGGTATTCAGTAAATAAACAGATAGACGTTTTTGTACTGTCTTATTCACGCATCAACGAAGATAGTAGTTGTTTTCTCAGAAGCTCATGTAAATGTTTTCACAAAATAATAATTTATCAAATCAAAGTTAACATAGTACATTGTTCTAAATTTCATTCTCTATCTACTACATAAGACTGCACGGAGATGTTTTATTCCTGATATCCATAGTGTAATAAAGGTGCATAATATAGACAATAGTTACGTTCTTCATCGCGTAGATAAGATTTTATTTTTCAGCATAAAATTTCCAGTTTCAAAATGAATAGTTGGATATTTGCGAAAACATGAAAAACGGCATGATGTGATTGTATTGCCAAAAAACAACTAAACAGTTCCATAGATTGATCTAAATTTTTTTTCCTAAAATACTAGGCACTACAGGATGTAATTGGATGATTCTAGCTCATTTAGTTTTTGAGATATGGATAAAAGCATATAAAATTATCTATTACATAGTCTGGTTAATCCAACAGGACTCATCTATACATCACGTCTACGTCTTAGAAGAACATCTCGAATATGGTGTTGAAGAATTTTGTGAAGATCAAATAAAACGTTGAAGAGAAACTAGTCGTAATCTTATTCAAGTTTGCAAGAAATCTGAAAAAAATATCTTCTAGTAATTATGATACTCAACCAAACTTGATTTCACTTATATTCATTCATCATCAAATGATAATTATTTTTATTCTTGTAAGTTAAAAACATTAATTCTATCGATACTAATATGCACATAAAACGACGAACTGATCAAATTCTAAATTTTGGATATAATCACTATGAGTATTTTGAAATTTATCGAGTTGCATAATTGAGTTTTAATAAAAATGTAAAAATAATCATGAAATAGAAAATAGAATTTTGTTATAATGTTACCAACATTAATAACAATTCGTCCAATTACTGCTGACAGTTCATATTTACGTTCAGATACACCAGAAGGATGACTATGATTAATTAATTTTGTTTCATCGAATTCAAATAGATATTCCTAGCTAATACCATCAAGTGAAGATGTTAGAACACTAGGTTATTTTACTTGAATATATAATAGATCTATCAACACCAATATGAGTGAAAATAAACTATTCATAAAAAAAATTTTGTTGAAGATTCTCTTATTTAATAGAATATTTCTTAGAAATATATAACACAAAAGAAAGAGATAAAAATAATAAATATATATAAGTACGAATTTTACCAGCAATAACAGTAATTTTTTTTTTGCGAATATTTAAATAAAGTGTCTATTATCATTTTTGTATTAAACCAGCAAATTCTATTATATATACTGAAATAACAGTAGTTAAACCAGAAAAACAAATAAAGATTTAATTAATTTTACTATCAGCAAGACCATCATCTTCAGAGAGTTCATATGTTACTTCATTTTATATGATCGAGTGCCGTGATGTGCTTAAAGGTAATTGAATTCTAGAAAAAATAAGTTTCATAAAATCAATATAATTTTCTTAGAAAAGAATTAACTTAAAGTTCAAATTATTTTTTGACGTATGCATCAAAAATCTTATAGGATAAACCAGGCCTCGCAGCCGTACTACTTTCCTGATTTTTTTAAAAATATCCTGTTTTTCCTGTTTTTGACTGAAAATCCTGATTTTTTGCTGATTTTTCATGATCTATCTCGATAGGGGCTATATCTACTTAATCCTGGCACGTTGTATTTTGTGAAACATAATCTGAAGGGAGACTTGAAGTGTTTAGGAGTACACTGAAAAAAATGAGCGCAGAATAATAAACTCTCAAAAAGGGTTTATGACCACGGCATAAACCCTTTTTGATTTATGGACGTAATCTACCCTCTCATAAACCCTTTTTCTCATAAACCTTGGCAAGGGTTTGTTATGCGTTGCAAATTCATATACTCTTGTACTGTTTTCTGTGTTTATAAATCCTTTTTGAGTATATGAACACAATAAACCCTTAGACAAAGGGTTTGTTATGCTACATTTTAAAGAGAACCGTAGAATAATAAACCCTTTGTCTAATGGTTTATTGCATTCATATAATCAAAAAGGATTTATAAACACAGAAAACAGTACAAGAGTATATGAATTTGCAACGTATAAGAAACCCTTGTCAAGGTTTATGAAAAAAAAGGGTTTATTATTTTACGCCCATTTTTTTCAGTGTAGAAGTTTGCAACCATCCCCCTTCCTCCCTCATAGATCGTAACAGACACTCACGTGAGCCATCATGGACCGTGACAGACAGGGCTCTGACCCATCACAAACTGGAATAGACAGGGCTTTGGATCCATCACAAACCGTGACAGACAAGACTTTGGATTCATCACAGACTGTGATAGACAGCTGCAGGAATCGTCATAGACTGTGATAGAAGACCTCAAGAAACTATCAGAGATAATGCATGTCTAACATTTGATTAGAACATCTATGGAGTGTTATCCTGTTTCAGCTGTATAATGTAAAGTAATCCATGGCGCAGAAATGTACCCCAATATGCATAGGAAAGAAAAGTTTTTAGAAAATTGGAAACAGCAGTTACATCGTGTTTCACATTTTCAATCCCTCAAAGAATTGCGCTAACAACTTTTTTCCTTTTATCCTTTTTTCTATGATAATATTAAAGTATCTTAAACTGTTCACCCAGGCTTGTTCTTACGTTCTGATATTTTGTTATCTTTTTACACACTAGCTGGTGAAGTGAATTTGCCATAAAAATAGTAAATAGGAATTCCAAACACTTACTCTCTTCATGTATTAATGCTCTTTTATCCCTTTGCATAATAAAAAAAGGAATTCTTATTGTTTTTTCATTTGTGGATAATGTTGTTGTACATACACTATTAGCATTTTTAGTGTTTGACAAAGGTGGTTATTATTCATTTGATGCAATAGGTGGAGCAGAACCAAACACATCTTTCACACATTGAATATGTTTTGGTCGATCAAAATGTCTTTTTATATCAGTTCGTCCTCCGTTAGCACAGCTGAGATCATCTGTACGACACACAATGCATTGAAACGAACTGGCAGTTTTACCTTTATTAAGTCGCACAGAACATACTCTACCAGTATTCTCTAATTTTTGCAACTATTTTGAACAAAAAACTTCATTTTTTGATATTTGAAAATGTCTAATTGAGGGGGTACTTTTTTCGAAACTGAATCGCTATAACATGATTGTTTTATATGTAGAGAGAATAACAAATTAGAATAAGAGCATGACAATGAAAGAGAACAAAAAGTAAACAGTAAAGGATGAAAAGTGTGTGTATCTGAATAAAAGAATAAGTTCCTGCATAAGTTATTCTGTTTTCAACCAGTTTTAGTGTTTACTTCAGCAACCTACGTTTTAATTGTAACTAGCCGTGATTGTCGCATCTACTGTTACGCAGATTTGACCCCAAAAAAAGCAATATTAGAACAAAGTTTATAATTCCTGATTTTTATAAAAATTCCTGATTTTAAAAAAAAATTTCCTGTCTGCTTTCCTGATTTTGGAACACATCCCGCTGCGATCCCTGGGATAAACAATACGTATACAACAGGTGGTGCTTATTTTATTGAAAGATATGATGTACAAAGAACAATATGATTAAACGAAAGTCGTTGTATAATAACTACATATGAAATCGATTCCTAAGATAGTAGATAAAGATTTATTTTATGTTCAAGGTTTTAACAAAAAGCAAACCTATTTTATGTTTCTATTGAAAAATAATCGACACAGACTGATTAATCGAAATACATTAACGCGCATAATTAGATAGTGAACCGATGATTCATTTCGATTCTAGTATTATAGATAATAATGAATCAATACTTAGCGATATCTAGTGACAATTGACCTTTAAAAAGGACAATATCGATAATAAGGAAAATCAAAATGGTGAACCGTCTTTTTGTGTTAAGATCTAATATTACACATATTCGTTACTATTCACGTCATTTTTGAGCAAATAGACGGTATAATTTTTGTCTAGTTTTTTTCTTTAGCTGCAGTATAACCGTGCCAAATTAGAGTACCAATATTTTTAGAATCATAGAACATATTGACTCTTCCACAAACAAAAAAAATTGCCTTTTTCTATCTCATTTTTCACCACCTAATGCGTTGTATTAAAAAAAAGCAAAGCATACTGAAAGATGCAGCATGAAAGCCTCTAAAATTTACAAAAGATAGCTTGTTTTATAGTTTTACTTTTTGTTTTCAAAATAGACAAAACTTTGAACGAATAAATTTTGATCGTGCGAACATTTATCGCACAGAATTTTTTTTTGGAAACATTTACAATAAGCTATACTTTGTAAGTCATAGAGCTTTTCACGGTGCATTTTGTGGTATTCTTTGTTACTTTAATACAGTGTAAGAGGTGGTGAAAAAACTGAGATGGAAAAAGGCAACTTTTTTGCCGACGAAAGACTGAAAAATTTGAAATTTGATGTAGAAAAATGTGGATTCTATGTTGTGCAAAGAACGTTTTTTTTTGGCACGTGAGACATGAGATTTCAATTGAGGTAGACCGTAGACTTGAACCCATTTATGCTCTTCTTAATATCATCAAGATTTACCGGCAGTCAAAATATGAAGTGAAATGCCGTCCGATAGTTGGAGATGCTTCGTTGGAAGTCTTATTGTAATATTAAGTATATAATTTATAAGAGAATCATGATGTTTTTTAGATTAAGATAATAAACCTTCTCAACAGCGATATTTTATTATTTTATAATGGCTCAACATCGTTCGGAAGAACTAGAAATAAATAAAAAGGTACAATCAATACTGAAAATATAGTTAGTCAAAAAAATAAAAATATTTCTTTTTCAGTTGGAATCATTATCAAAAGATGAATTAATTCAAATAATTGATAAACTTCAAAATCAAGGAATAATGAATAAAACAAAAGATGAATTAATGCAGATAATTCATCAGTTTCAAAATCATCAAATAATAGATAAAACAATAGATGAATTAATGCAGATAATTCATCAGCTTCAAAATCAACAAGTAACAGATACAACAAGTTCTATATCAAATGACAATGAAGAAGTAATTAAAGAAGCTTTGTATTTCTATAAAAGTTTATGAATAACTGTTTGACTACGTAGTGCCTTTCATAAAAGAACTGTTTGTAAAAGCGATGTAGATGAACGGTCCGATTTATTTTACTTCAGGCTCCTTTTTGGGAAATCTTTATTCTAAAGAAACATAATTATATATGTAGCTAAATGTTGATTTCAATCATTTATAAAAAGTTCTTTGGATCTAAAAGAGCTGGCTAATTTAATTAGGTTTTATCAAAAGAATTCTTCAACAGTTTTTCAACTAAATTTGAACTTCCAAACGCCTAAAACATACATGCGAAGCAAATGATAGTGCAGAGAGTGCGAACAGAAATAATCTTTTTCTGTCTATTACAACCTATTAATGATCAACTATATCGAGTCCCAAACAGTCACAATGAAATTCTCTAAAAATAAAATAAGCAATACTATTTTTGATAAAGTACCTTCCTTCGATTAACATTAACATACAAATTATCTGGAAACTTATTCATATTTAATAAAAAAACTTTTTCTCGTACATTTTTCCAGGAACTTGTAGACATTCGATGAACGTGTAATTTTGAAAAAATCTTCTGTCTGAATCTATCGCTTGAACTAATTTTCTCTATAAACTAAGTGAATACATCATTCTGGACAAATGAATCAAGTTAGTTCAAAGAGTAGTTTTAGATACGAGATATTTAAATTAAACGTTCATCGAGCAATTATAAGTTGCTAGAAAAATATACGAGAAAAAGTTTTTTTTTGAAGTATGAACAACTTTCCACAAAGCTAGCTTATACGATGATATTAATCTAAGGAAGGTAATTCATCAAAAATAGTATTGTATTTTATGTTTTAGAGAATTTCACAGGGAATGTTTGGATAGTAGTACTAATTTTAATGTATTAATTGAACATAAATTATTTTCTAAAGACCGTAACCACCGTTTAATCTTGACCATTCGATAATCAGAAAAATTGTTTTATTTACCAATTTATTTACTTCAAAAAGTGTTAAGAGAAACAACAAAGAGATTAAGCTACAAGTTTATTTTAGGAATGATTCACTATTTTTATTCAATCTGCATTTAAATAAGATTCTTGCGAAATTAGATTTAAATTTAGAGTGTATAAAAAAAAATTCTATCGCGAATTGTTTTTTTAGAAGATCAACCAAAAGTCTATCTTTTCTAAAATGCTTTAAAAAATGCTATATATATTTACATAAGCAATTTATTTCTTTATTATTGCCTACCTGACTCTTATATTCGATATTATTGTGAAAGTAATTAAAGATCAGAACGAAAATGTAGCCTTCTTTTATTAATTTATTGGCTAGTAATCGTACGCCATACTATTATTAAAATAATCTTATTTTTTTGTTTGACAGCAACCAGCAAACATATTATTACATAAACGATCAAAAACTGCTGTTAATTCTTATGAAAGTACTGAAATACAAATGGAATCACCTGATAATCAATCATTAGCAGACGATGATCAGCAAGAAAAAATAAAAATCGGTGAGTTTTGACTTCGACTTACGAGGGAATCTATTCAATTGATAATCGCCGTTTGAGCTCATATTTTGCTCATAGGTAGGGTTTATAGTATAGATAAAAGCTCTAAAAGAATTTGTGCCATTAGATCTTTCTTCTTGAGCCATGGTTATTTTACTGAATTTTCAGTCTATCTCAAGGCGTTATGAGAAAGTTTCAACAAAGAATATCTACCTGAAAAATTTCCCAATAATAGACCTCATGGTCCTTATTATATGTTGGAAGTTGCAGCTCAAACGGATGAGCTTTTCTTAACATAGAAAATATCTTAAAAATGAATTATTTTCGAAGCTTTTGTGAGAAAGTAGTGATTTTTTGCAAAAGTACTATCTTGGAAGAGAACCATTCGTTTGAGCAGAGACTTTCAAAATATTATAAACACTGTGAGGTCTATTATTCGGAGAACTTTCAGACAGAAATTCTTTGTTGATATTTTCTTCATAATAAATTGTGGCAGACTGAAAATTCAGTGACATAACCATGACTCGAGAAGAATGGCCTAATGACACAATTCTTTTAGAATTTTTTGCTGCACTTTAAGACCTACCTATGAGCAAAATATAAGCTCAAACGGCGATTATCATTTGGCTAGGCTTCCTCATGAGATGTTATTTTGTAAAGTTGGTTCATTGAACAAAGCTGTAGTTGGACTTAATTTAGTTCATTTGTACAAAATTTTAATGATGAAGAAGCAGACATTGTATGTAAAAACAAAAAAAAGTGTTATATGTATCACATTGTGAAGCATACTCGGGAGTGTAGAAATCAACAAAAAGATACTTTGGTTTTGACCATCAAAAGATGTTTTATTGGTTCAGATTACAGAAATGTTCTGAGCGCATAAGATGGAGTATGTTTGATAATTTTGAAGCAGCTCAAATATGTTTTGCCCGAATTAAAATACCTTCCCTGTTTTGATCGAAATAATCAAAAATAGCTTTACTCAATTATTCTAAGTTTTTGTTCGATTGTTGCATTGTTTTGAAAATTAGCATAATCATGGCGTTCAGTCTGATCAACAGCCAACGCTTTCATGCATTTTTAAAGGTATCAGGCTGAACAATGTCGGAATCCTAGGACTTCTAGGAAACTACCTAGTTCGTCTAAATTTTGCAAGATAAAATTTTTGTTCACAACTCTTTTTGCAGGAAACACTCTGGGTCATCAACCCACTTAAAACAAATGAATGGATTCCTATGACAGTTTTCAAAACTTCAGCATACTTTTTAATTGTCCTTTGAAAAACTGATTTTCAAGTTTTTAGTCAGAAAAAATTTTGCTTATAAAAATATGTTCCTAGGTCTTGCCCATTAAACATGGAACATCGCAGAGCTCTGCCTTGTTTCTTTCAAAATTTATTCAATAAACATCAGAGTGTCTTGTTTTGTAGAGTCGGTAGTTGTGTTAAAAAACAAACGAAACAAGATTCCCTGTCTCAAAGATAGTTTGCTTTCTGTCTATCGAAAAATAAAATATGCACCCATGTCTATTCTTTTTCACATTCTAATTATCAGATGTTGGACTGTCTGTTTAATTTAGGTCAATCAATATGGGCAACTATTTTGAATATTGCACATAAATTGATGGTTAATATAGGAAAACACGATAAGGAAGATTAATCATGTGATCTTAAGTTTGTTCTTTATGTCGCTGCTGCACATTCATCTTGAGTTTTCTGTTGATTGATTTTATTTTGCTGTTTTTGTTTCATGTGCCAATCTACGAAGAAATTGTATCAATTTTCTGTTCACAACTCATTTGATGGTAATAAATGATCACCATTCATATCATCGTTAAAAAATTGTATTTCTTTTTTTTTGTGAGCTACCCATTTTTTTAATCATTATCACCTTCTTGTTTATTATTTGATGGTGGTGCACTAAAACCGTCCTCTGATTATTGATGTTGTTGTACATGTTAAAAGAGCATTAAGCTGATCCTCTCTGAAAAGTTCATTTTTGTCAAAAAATGATGATTTTTGAAGTAAGCATACAGGGATGACGCCTAACGTGCCTACTTTAGATATTCATAAAGTGTTTCTCAATTTTTAAGAACTTCAAAGAGATGCACTAAAACTTTCTGAAATACTCTACATTAATATTCGTAAGCGAATCTAGGTAGAAATCGAAGAAAAACTGTGAGTATCGCTACCTATTATTAGCTGTATGTATCGCTTGAAGTACACCTCTACGTATCCTGATTAATTCTAGCGATTGATATGTGATATCGCCATATTTCATGTTGATGTCCAATGATAGGTAGAGAAAATATAGAAAAAGTTTTTGTATTTTTCTCAAAATTGATTTTTGTATTAATCACCAAGCTTCATACAAAAAAATATTTTTTTAAATATAATTTATTGTAGAGAGCTGTGGTTTTTTTGTTTATTGGTGCACTTGATGGTTCTTGAGATGAGAGGAAAGAATTTTTAAAATAGACTGTAGTTCTATAGAAAACTTTGTCTCTGTGGAAAACCTCTGGGTGTGGAAAGTTTGAGTGATCGCGCGCACTGTATTCAAAATAGATTTCGGAGAGGATCTTAAATGATCATTTTTTAAGAACAGTTTTAACTGTTGGTGAATGATCATGTTTACGTGGCATTGAATTCGGTGATAAATCTTGTATACAAATTGCTGTTATCATTATTATTATTGTTTTTATTTACTTCTGTTGCTTAGATTGTTGACACGCACGTTTTCAAATTGCGAAGTGATTGATTCAGTTTTTGATTTAACTTCAGAAAATTCATTTAATAAAGCATTAATTCGATCTTCTTTAACTACAAGTTCATTATTATTTGACTCATGAACTTGTTAGTGTGCAATATGTATGTTTGGTTCAACGTGCCATATTTCTTCACTTAATAGTTGTAATTCAAAAAGTTGAACTCAAAGTTCTTACTGACCTGATTGATGTAGTTGTGGTTTAGATTGAGCGAAATCTAAGCGAACAATTGAAAATTTGTTTTTTTTTTAACAATTCGTCTAACTTTTTTTTCAATTTTCTTTTTAGTATTAAAATATAAATATTGTATATTAAATTTTATTTGGTCTATTATTGGTACTTACTTGATGTCTTCAATTAATGTTCTTCCTAAATGGTTAATATTGATCATCTCCTTATTATCATTTGTAATAATTGACTTATTATGCTGTAAACAAGCATCAATATTAAGGAACGTATATTTCATTTTTATCTCATTAATCTATCCTACAAACACGTTCACATATAATACAATAATTATTTCTAATGATCGATTCGACAATATATTATATTTATTTACTCGTGTTTAAAACGTAGGATATTTCCGGCCTGGATTCGAGTATATCGCAACTGGATTCGCCCACAGTTGGGACCAAAACCCAAACTCTACGGACCAAGATAGAACTCGA